CGGCGATGGATAGTCCACTATCCCGAAGTCTATGGCGCGCGTCACCCTTTGCTCCCCATCTCCCAAGGTGACAGGCAAGCACACCCGCCCTATCACTCGGGCGGGCGCTCCCGAAAAGCCTACTAGCACAGACTCTGATGGTCTGATCATCTCTGGCGATAGTTGCATCCGAACCACCGTATCCTTGAACAGCACATCCATGGAGCTTCCCGTGTCGACCATCATTCTCCTCACTCTGCATCCGGCTAACACCCCCTGTATCTCCAAGGCGTCCATGGACGGTAGCATACATGCTTCTTCCGGCGCCTTATTGAAGCTAATGTCAATCGACTCCTGCACATCCGCCGACGCTGCCCTCAGTCGGCGATTTGCCTCTATCTTCTCTCTCAAATCCATTGTTCCTGAAATGGCTTCGATGGTCAGGCGCACGCGATCAGGCGCCTTTTCTTGATCCAGGTCGTAGGGTGGGGGAGGCAGCTCCTCCCTTGCCTTCACCACTCCAGCCACACATGCCCGATGTACTCTTTCTTCAGGCTTCTTAATGAAGTCATTAAGCATTCCTCTGTCTGCCAGGCCCTGTAGCTCTGTTTTCAGCTGATAACAATCGGCCGTATAGTGCCTAATTTCACGGTGAAAATCACAGTATCGATCCAAGTTCCGCTCATCGGGTTGTCCCCTCATGGGCCCCGGCCACCTGATGTGGTACCCCTTCTCCTTAACGTGCTGAAGCACGTTCTTCAAAGTGTCGTTGTACTCGGCGAAGGGCCCAGCCCCCCTAGGCGCCTGGCGCCCCATATCACTTCTCCTTGGCGGGGGTTGGCTTGCAGGCGCATAGCCCAAACCACTCGGGGGGTACGGCCTCCTTGGTACATCGGCTTCCTCCGCTCATGACTTTCTCCGATCTGCCCTCCTGGCCGCTAGCGTCTCCTCCAACATAATTACCTTTTGCACTCTGTGATCCAAGTCCTCTGTGGACACCACGTCCCTCTTTGCGAGCGCCCTGCATAGCTCCTCACTGGAGGTGCACTCATTCAGGCATACTCCCAGCACAGACGGCTGGGCGTCCTTCACCGCTAAGGCCACGGATAGCCACCTCTCGTAAAACTCCCTTAACGCCTCTCCCTCTTTCTGGCTGACCTTAAACAGGGCGCCTATGGTCAAGGAGCGCCTATGGTCAAGGAGCGCCTTTTCCTGCTGGCAAATTTTGCTAAGAACATCGCTGCGAACTGTTCGAAGCAATCGATGCGCCCTTCATCGATCTGATGATACCAATCTAGGACCACGCCTGCAAAGGTGGACGGAAATACCTTGCACAGGGTGGCGTCTGTGCTGTTATAGAGTTGCATTTTGGTGAAATATCCGTTATGGTGGTCCTCGGTGTCACCAGTTCCGTCATAGGCGGGTAGCGGGGGATTGTTTGTTCCTGCGGGCTCTAATAGTATGCTACGTGCCAGAGGCTGCCTCACGGGGCAGTGGCGAGATAGGCGTCCCAATATTCCTCCGTTCCACCCACTAGCGTCCGGCACCCCATGATCACGTTGGCGCCATAGACTTGGGCGCCTCAGACACCCTGATTCACTCTCTGTCTCCTCCATCCTTTCCCTCTTTTTTGTCGGGCTGGGCGTCATCCCTTCACTCCTCTTTAAGGCGTCCACTTCACGCCGCAGCGCCTCGATTGCCTCGTCCTGATCTTCGATGATTCGGAACAATTCTTTTTTCGTGACCGAGGCGCCCTCGGATCCCTGAAACACGCCATCACTTTCCTCACCCTCTTCCATCTCAGGCGTCTGCCCTCTCATTCGCTCCGATTGTTCCTCCGTGATTTCTTCCCTTTCTTCATTCATCGGCGCCTCTTCACTCATGACTGTTGGCTATATTCCCCTTCCTGGCGCGCCAATTGTTTGAGACTCGTTACCCTCGTATAGCTCTCTGGAATCCCTTCTCTCAAGGCGCCGCTCTGCACACACGAACAAGGAGGGGGCGCCTGGGCCCGTTAATCCTTCGACGCCCAAGTTAGTTTCTTTGAAGAGAGAATTGTCTCAAACCAGAGTTTAGTGAGAGAGAGTCCAACCTGTGTAAATGCTACCAACTGCCCCTATTTATACTCACCAGAGTTCGAGGTTGATCTTCTCTACTTCCCTGCCTTCATTTAATGCTTTGTCCCTTTCTGGTCAGACATCCCAACCACCTTGTCAGACTCCTGGCACGTGACAGGCGCCCGCAGACGCTGGACCACATGACAGTCTGGCCTTCTTTGGCTTCTAGTGTCTTGTCCTTATGTGCCCTCCCTTTTGCTTGGGCCTTGCCCCCCAATTGGGCTGTTTGGGAGCCCACGTTGTCGCCCATTGGGCTTTGTTCATAATACCCCCAACAGTAGCTAACACATCTAACAACACTGCAAACTCGACTCTTAAGCAAACCACTAACCTATGCTTGCGGTTCGACTTGGTTGACTCTTAAACAAAAAAGGGATCAAGCTAACTGTCAAGAACCAGTTGATCCCAATAACTCGAGTTGTTGGGAGAGGTCCAATCGTGGATCATATACCGTTTACTAACACCCCCCTTCAAACTCAAGCCATTCAGATAGGCTTGGAGTTTGGACAGGCACAGGTCCGGACACTGTGTGCTTAACAGAAACAGATGGGGTCAAGAATCAGTTGATCCCAATAACTCGAGTTGTTGGGAGAGGTCCAATCGTGGATCATATACCGTTTACTAACACTAACAATTGACTTGATGAGCCCACAAGTCATTCAGATCGGCCCATCTGCTGCTCAGCTCGTGCACCACAGCCCAATCCCTGCTATTGAGTTTACGCGTAGCCCGATCCGATCGCAGAACAAGCTCGCCCTTGTAGGAGTTTCGATTTTTTTTAGAATTGTTAGTAAGGTTGAATAGGTCAACATGGTTGTTAGCGTTAGTGGTTAGTGGAATAAGCTTCTCCATATTTTGTGGAGAAAGTTGAGTAGAAATAGCAGCACCGGTAGCGTGGAGTTAGTTCCATTAAGTAGATAGGTCTTTTTTCATTGTGTATTTAAGTTGAGATTGGATTCAATAAAAGTAAGCAGAAAATTAATAGAAAAAACCCTGGTATTTCTCGCCAAGAAAAGAGAGTCCACTCCCGCCATTCCGCCAAGAAAAGGGAGCTATCCAAATCCAACACGTATCATGACCACACGACACGGTACAATCTAAATAACTCTTTTATTTGAATTCTTCACGCTCCAATCGACCTATTGAATCTGGTTGATATGTCTTAAACCTGAATTGATACCAATCAGCAAGTTTCAATTCATACCGTCCTTAACTTTCAGTAGATATAACTTTTGCAACTTCAACCAACCCATCATTGGTTCTTAGTAGCTCAAATGTATCAAGCTTTAGTGTTTTGGTCGTCAAACCTGCAACTTGTTATCGGGTTTCACAGTGTACCATCTCAACAACTTCTTCCTTTGTAAACTATTATAAGAGTTTCCAATTAGAAAGTATTCTTCACTTCCTCTTTTGAAACGGATTCCATGTCTCATAATTCCCTTTAGGTATCTTAGGATCCTTTTTTGCAGCAACATGTGTTGCCTTGTTGGACTGAATACATTAGATATGGTCTTGTTGTTATTTCATACAATAAGCTTCATATCAACTATATTTTTGCTTAGTAAGGTTAACCAACATACTATCTCTAGCTTTATGCAAAAAGTCGTGTCCTTTTAGGATGATTTGTTGTTAAAGTGTGCGCTGATATTGATCTTAGTTATTTCACCGCTACAATAACTTATGTGTCTTTAACAGCGTTAAAGTTTGTAACAGAAATGTCTAGATTCTACGTACAACCATCCCAAATTCTGGTTATTTTACATATTTCTCCAAAATTGACTATTGTTGTCACAAACTCAAAAATTCTAGCTATGTAGGTGTATTTTTCCTTTATAATAATTATAATTTAATAACTAGATAGCTAGTCAAGCATTTGGAGGAGGACAAATGGATTGAGATACTGTAATCGTTATCTATTATTCAATCTAAAACGGTTTTAGTTTGTCGTTTGTGCGACTATTCCAAATTATGATTAATCAGTGATGTGCCTTCGTCCTCATGGTGATTAGGCATCCCGTGGGGATTTGGTTGTGCATATATGGTATCGTGATTCTCAAATCTTTTCTAATATTGTGGTTTTTCACATGTCATTATTCAGATGGTCATCGTGTGCTACTCGAAGGAGCTATCTTGTAAGAAATCCATGTGCTACAATCATCTTTAATTTCAATGTGTAAACATCTCATTTCCCGCCTTAGAGGTATAATTGGGTTGTCTATTCCGAGACAAAAAAAGTCGTTGATTGTTGGTTTGAACACTTATCGATCATCGTTTTTCTTTTTCAATTCGATTGCGATGACATGACCTAAAAAAAATCTTATATATATACTGTCTCCCCGCATACCTATGGAAAAAAATTGAACATTTTCCCCTTTTTGAATATGGAAACTTAATTTTTCTAGAGATAAACTACAAATTTGCTGGTCCTGAATTCCCAGATATGGATGAAATAAACAAGGCTAGTCAATTAAAACAAAAAATAAAATAAATTCTAAATTAGGGATATATATTATAACAATATTTTTATTACATGTTATCTATTATAGTTTCCTTTTTCTTTACGCAAAGTCGGAAATTAGAACTCGTGGGAATGCATTTGACCCAGAAACGTTCAAAAAAAAAATCCAAAGCAAACGCTTACCTTCCCTGAATTTCAGAAAAATCCAAATGACGTGTCGCATCAACCAAAAAAGAGATGACATCAGCGATTAACTCATCCTCGTACTTTCCCTTCAGCTGGAGTCGAGAAACGAAACCTCTCTCGAAAGTGTCCACGCTGGACGCTCTCTGGCCCCGTCTCTTCCTTAAACCGTGTCCACTTTGACCCGTCCAGCTGGCACCCAATCCGCCACGTGTAACCACCTCCCCCCACTATATAAATTATAACGTTCCCCTCCCCTCGCCCCACCATTTCCCGTTCCTTCATATCTGCCCCCCTCGAAAAATCGAAAACCAAATTGGAACCTCACATTTTCCCGCGCTCTGGAGGAACCCTAATTTCGCTCGGAATAATTTCAATGGAAGCGTTCATCAGAGATTATAACAGACCCAGCCGCATCACCAAGCAGGAAGAGGACTCCATCCTCGTCTCCGCCTTCAAGCACGTCATTTCCGGCGGCGCAGACGGTCTCACCCCCGAACAATTAACCCTCCTCTTCTCCACCTCTTCTTCTTCCTCCGCCGCCGCCGCTCCGTCTTCTTCCTCCTCGTCTGGCGCCACCTCCTCCTCCTCCCTCCCGTCGTGCAGCGGCGGGATCGCGAAGAAGAAGGCGAGGAAGAACAGGTACAGAGGGGTGCGGCAGCGTCCCTGGGGGAAGTGGGCGGCGGAGATTCGGGACCCGGAGAAGGCCGCCAGGGTCTGGCTCGGGACGTTCGAGACGGCGGAGGAAGCAGCCAGGGCGTACGACAGGAAGGCCATCGAGTTCCGCGGGGAACGCGCCAAGACCAATTTCCCGGCGGCCGAGTACGCCGGCAATCGGAGGTCGGTGGCGGCTGGGGCTGAATTGGTAGCCGGCGGCGCTACTCAGGAGACGCATCCTGTTCAAGAAGCGGTGGCAACGACGGCGGCGGCGACCACGAACCGGGACGAGGGAGTTGACGACCTGTTGTTCGGAAATTTTGAGGAGGACGAGCTTCGGAGGTTGATGATGATGGATTGAATTTTTGGTTCTTTCTTTCACAGAACAGAACTATGATCCATGAGTCCTTTTTTGTCGTTTTGTTTTCACCCCCGCTTTAGAAGCGCGGTAGGGATGCAGCCTAAGGTTTTTTTTTTTTGGGAGTCTGCTGCTGCAATACTAGCATTTCAAGTTATATTTAGTGACAACAATTTATTTTTACCGGAGAAAAATAAGTTCGATAATTGAGAGATATTACACTGGGATTGTACTCAGTTTGTGGAGAGTGTAGTAGATGGATCTGTTTTTCATTTCTCAGTCTTGTCTTGGTTTGGTTTGTATGTCAGAGAAATTCGAATTAGGGCGAAGCAACGGTATTTTATAGTTAACAAGAAAAATAGACATAATGAATGATTGTAAAAAGAAATTAATATGTGATTTTTTTTTTCAATATTGTTATGTATTTATAGCATGTCGTCCCCCATTTTTCGAGTTACGAAATTGTTACTTGAAAATCACGTTGAATTACTACATGAAGGGTTGGGTGCTACTGCGAGAGAAAAAATGTTGAAATGTGTAATGGCACACGTAAAGAAGTTGTGAGTTGTGAGTCTTGTGACTAGAAGTTTGGCGGGAAAATGAACCTAACTAGGATGGTTTTTTTATTAATTTTTAAGGATAACGATTTCGAAGGTTGTTCTATTTTAAGGGTCAAAAGTCAAAAAAGCTCCAGAGAGATTGTATGGGTTGGTTGACCATTACGATGATTAATTTGCTTATTACGTCGTAAGCGACCACGTACGCATTACTTTTGGCTAGCAAGCCTACTAGCCTAGGGAGTAGGCAGCCGCAATAAAACGCAAATTTGGGGCCATATATTTTTATGTAATGACGGCCGAGTGAGTGAGGGAGTGAGTGTCGTGGGCTCGTTCATTACTCGCTTTGGGCCTTTTTGTCTTCTAGCGCGATAGCCACATTCCTTGGTACTTTCTTTTTAATTTATTTCGTCGGCTTTTCAACGAACATTCTTACCGGTACACTCGGAAGTTTGGTACATGAGATATAGACACATTTTCACATGCTAATACTCTTTCCATTACATGGGTAAGGGGTGGGAGATCCGGTTAAACTGTACTGAATTAATCCATTTTTTATAATCGTATTGACCATATTAGCAATCGAAAATTGGATTGGATTGGATCTCGATTTTAACTGTGACCGGATTATATTGAATCCGGTCCGATCCAGTTCCCACCAAAAAACCGGAAATGGTGTCTATTTCCCAAAATGCCAGCGTTTATTTATGTATTAAAATGACAATAATGGCAGGTCACACATAATCCCATCTTCCCAATACATCCTCGATTAAAACACCACCTCTCTTCCCTCTCTCTTTCGTCTCCTTTCCATCTTCCATCTCAATGTCTCACTCAAATATGCAGAAATCATTCACAAACCGAGATCTATCAGGCGATTTCACCTCAGATGAGGAAGTTTGTAACGATAGGGATCTTATTGTAATAGGGTATAATTTGGGGTCATTTTGTAATTAGGCTTTCATATAAATAGGATTGACTGTACTGAACAAAGGGCATCGACTAAGAAATAAAAGAAACTCTTTTTCACTGTTCTTCTTCTCCTTCCTTCCCTTCTCTGTTCTTCCCTGATTCTCTTATTCTTCTTCTCAAAGTCACCTCCCTTCTTCGTCAATCTAGTCTATTTCTCTGTTCTTAATCGCTGGGAAAGATCCAGATCGGTCACGACCATTACAAGTTGGTATTAGAGCCTCTTCTTGGCAACCATGGCGACGTCAATGCGTTGGGACGGCAGTGCAGGACGATTTGCGAAGGCAACGCCTTGGGAAGGTAGTGAAGGTGGATTTGACCGCGACTTGCTGAGTTTGCCGGACCTGTTTCGGTCAGATTTTGTGGTCACAGTTACCGACGGGGAGGAGCCTCTGGCTGGCTGGAACTATGCTGAAATCACCTGCCCATCATCTTTTTGATGAATTGACGAGCAGAAGGTTTCTACGACGAAGACTCCTTTACCTGAGGTAGTTTCTTCTGCCCTCATTCCAGTTCGTAAGTCTTCCAACCATCTCCCTGCCGCAACTGGAATTCACAACCTACCGGACGGTAATTCTCCATCTACTCAGCTTTTGAAGTTTCCCTCTTTCGGCAACGATTTTAACGAGCTTAAGCAGCAAGGGTCGCTGTCGGAGTATAAAGCACAGTTTGAGGAATTGAAATCATTGATGGCTCGATTTAGTCCTGCATTGGACGAGGAGTTTTTCATTTCAAGGTTTATCAGTAGTTTAGAGGAAGAGTTATGACCAGTTCTGTCCATGTTGCATCCCTATATTAGAACATTAGCTCAAGCCTACAATCGAGCTCAATCGGAAGATGTCATTGCGGCCTGCAAATTACAGCTTGGCGAGCTTGGTGATTTCGTAGGTTCGGAGGCACGGACAATGACTGTGACTGCGGAATCTTTTCTTCCTTCAAACATGGTTGATGGGACTGGTGGTTTACTTGCTGAAAAAGAATATATCCCTATTGCTACAACTGACTCAACTATAAAATAACCTGGGGATGAGTATGCTAATACAAAACTTGCAAATGCTAGTGGGTTGAAGCAGATCAAAGCCAACCTAATTGTTGTTGCAGCCAGTGGCTACCATCTTGAAGAGTATGGTAATGAGCATGGTGGGCTGTTGCATTTTAGTGAAGAAGATTCCTGCCTCGCTGGAAGCTTTAGTACAGAAGCAGATGCAGATAATGAATGTACATACAAGAGCAAGAGAGAACAGGCTTCTAGTGCTTATGGTAAAGTAGCAACTAGTATGTCAAGTGATGAGTTTCAGGGTTCGTAAATGAGTGAGTATTTTGGAGTTGAAAGTATTGAAGCTGTAGACACTTCACTGCAAGTTCAAGCAGGAATAAGAGAGTCTTCTTGCAGTCTTTCAGCAGTTCCTTTTCCTACTGCTAGTCAGGTCGAGTACCCCTGCAAGACTTGGATTCCTGACTCTCAGGCTGTTGTTGTGATGGAGAAACTTGCTCTACTTGAAGCTGATTCTTTTGATGTTGAGTCTCAAGAGACTATTAAAGTTGGCAATCGCCAGAAAAGGATAACAAAATTTTGGCAGCAGCATTACAGTACAATCCTGCAGCTTTTGTGAAGGACGATAAGTGGTTTAATTCCCAGTTTTCCGGTTTATGGAGCTGGCAATTGAGGATGGCGGAATATGCGTATGAAGCAAACAACTTGGTTGTATACTATGTCCTCATGGAATCTCTGGGGAAGGGCAATTGTATCAACTACAAGGAACCATACGTGGAAGCTTTGGTGGCTAATGCTGTTGGAGAGTTGTTTGAAGAAAGAATTCCAAATGTTGATGAAATGTGGGCATGGAAAGCTCAAAAGTCTTGGGGGACAGTATATCCCCACTTACATGGTGATATTTTTGCTAGAGGAGATGCAAAGAAGTTAGAAGCATGTCTCGTTCAGTATCAGTTCTTGTTTGTTGGCATCTCTAGTGCTCTATTCTGATTACGGTAGCCCTATACAGTGGTGTTTTGCATTTGGAGACTAACAGTTTGGCCTTGGTGAGAAACCATGAGTATTGGAGGTCTCGGGTGAAATTTAAATGAATAGCTTGTTGTCTCAACTTAAAAGAACCTTACAAGGATTTGGGTTCAAGGGCTGTTGTTGGATTTGACGGTGAGTTGTTGCTGTTAGTGTCAAGACTACGAGCTAGTGTTGTTGATGTTTGGTTGGCAGTAACTCAAGCCTTGAACAAGGGGTTCATCACACCGGTGGAGGCTGGCAGTTTGGTGTTGATGGCTCCAAAGGGATTTTACAATTCTCATATTGGGGTTATAGCCATGATTGAAGTGGTAAGGTGTGGTGATCAACTGGATTGTGGGTTGAAGCATCTGTCTTCAAGGTTGGTGAATGTTGGTAGACTATTTTCTCCGGGCTTTAGAGGGGTTCAGTATGGCAGTTTGAGCATGGCTGATTATGTTGGTGAAGATAGCAGCTGGGATTATGGATATCGGGTTTTCCTACCTACTACGATGTTTGTGTAACATCTCATGGTAGAGGCATTGATCCCAATTACCGAGAGCCTTATAAGGATTATAGCTTGCTTGTTGGCTGTTTCCATATATTGGCGGGTTATGATTCGTAAAGGAAGGCATAGGCTGTGTTCTGTTGTATGGTTACTAATGCAGTTAGAATTGTGGTATGGGTGGATGGCTATTGCTCCTTGTGCACAGTGCTGCTTGTATTCATTCAAAACTCCATTTGGTTGTTGTTGGAGCAGTTGAACTGGGTTTGTAATTCCTATATTACGTCATGAGTTGCTGGTGATTGTTCAAAGGAGGAATTTTGCCGGGTAATCTGCAGTTTGTATAATTAACACCTTCCAGCAGCTTGATGGCCATTACGCAGCAAGCCTTCATCAGACTTTTTTTTTTGATGAAGGTGAAATTTATTAATAGAATCCAAAACGTCAAAAGAACAACAGACAAGGAAAAGAGGAGTAGAGGTGGATCAAAAAGGCTTGATCCCAGACCCGAAACAAGGAAACAGAAGTCGAACAAAAAGAACAGCAGAAGAGCTGCTAGGAGGACCAGACCTCCTCTACAGCCAACGAGAAGAAAAAACAACTCCAAAAACAAACAACACGAAAGGACGAACCGAGCGCCCAATAGTGGCGAAGCCCCCGAGCACACAACAGAAGAATCAAGCTCAACCCGAGACCAACTGGAAACCACCTGGCCCACGCGGGGTAGGCGAACAGTTCCCAAGCCAAAGCCACAACAGAAGAACACACAGCTGCTAAAGGAGGAGAAGAGAGCAGGACCCAAGCCAACACGCTTAGAGCCTACCCAACAACTCCTCAAGACTCCTATTGCCCTGTTCTTTGTCCACTTTGCCACCTGCAACCGCCCACTCCACAACGTCCCTGAGAACTTTCCGAGCCACAAACTTGGGCTGAAGACGGGCATCCCTGAAAATTCTGCTGTTACGTTCAAGCCAAACCTGCCAACACACAGCATGCATCGCACCATAACGGATCCAACTCGCCACATTATCATCACACTCAGTGGGCCACCTGGAGATAACTTGGGTAATTTCTCTAGCCATGGGCACGGCCATCCCACAAGCAATCCTCGTCCTATCCCACACCTCCTTGCTGAAGTCACACCGCACAAGTAGATGATCAACCGTCTCCTCTTCCCTGTTACACAATTCACACCTATTTGCAAGAGACATTCCCCTTTTTTTAAGATTATCGATCGTGAGGATGCTCTTATGAGCCGCAAGCCACATAAAGGAGCATATTTTGGTTGGAACAATCGGCCTCCAAACTGAATCAGCAGGGAAGTTCTCGATACCTCTAAACGACTCCCCCGCAAGG